CTACAACTTTTGAATTTTAAGTGGCGAATAGAATGACATATCATATGTCAACTTTTGACATTTTCGCATATGGTTATTTTTGCATATGATTTATTTGAAATTTTAACATGCGGTTCATAACGACAACTTGACTCGAAATACCAAGTGTGTGGTATCAAATTATTCGTCAACTTTTGACATTTTCGCATATGGTTTATTTGAAATTATAACATGCGGTTCATAACGACAACTTGACTCGAAATACCAAGTGTGTGGTATCAAATTATTCGTAAAAATGTTTTTTCCAAATATGCTAATAAGCCACCCTTGTTCCATTTGAAAAAATTGGCGCCGGGAGGCACGTATAGCCGCCCATACTAAAATATGTTAATATCTCGAAAACTGCGACTTTGACTGATTTTGATGTTATTACAAATATTGTCGCAAATATTATTCGTAATCTTAATTTGAAAACCGCGTTTCGCTAGCTACTGTAATTTTGGAGTTACGTTTTTTTTAAATTTTGAACCCCCTCCCATACCCCCTTACCAACCCCCCAGCCCCACCAAAAACTAATGGCCAGATTCTCGGGTGCCACAGTATTTTTGTGCCAAATCTGGTTAAAATCGGTTCAGCAGTTTTTGAGTTATCGTGTTACAGACGGCAGACGGACAGACGGACAGACAGACAGACACCATGAAAATATTTTGTATTTAGGTCATTTATGACCCAAATAACTCTAACCAAATAATGTTGAGTGAAATTAAAAAAACTTTTTTTTGTCGATCTTAATAGCCTACCATACCTATTGGTATGGTCGGCTAAAAATTGAGATATGATTAAAAATACTATTTGAGCATTTTCTAACTGGCCAGGATAAGGCACTAAAAACATTAGACGATCCAATCTACTTTTTCAAGGCTTCTTGATAAAGAATTAGTGTTTTTAACATAGCCATTTTATTAAACAAGAATGTCAAAATTTGACACATAACATGTCATTCTATTCAGAATGCCATTTTCTATCGAATAAAGTAAAAAACACAGAGGGTGCCATTTAAAAATCAAAAGTTGTAGTCATTTCCGGTGAAACAGGAAGTGATAAAAAACAATTGAATACGTCAATCAATCCTAATTTATGTCATATACTAACATACCAAACCTCTGAGACGCACCCGGTATATTTCTGTGGCGGATTCATTTCTTCAAAATTTCTTCGTTATTTTCTGTGGGCCTCCAACAGACACATTTGTGTAAAAAAATTTAAATTTTATAAATTATTATTATTCTTTCTAAAATGTTATTAGTAAAATACGGGTTCCGTTATATTAATGCATTCACAATACTAATGGTTTCAATCATTTTGTTGGGTTATGTGTTCAGAACTATTCAATTTTGTAGATTTTCTTCAAGTGGCGAAATATCCAGAAGTATTTTTTGAAGAAATGTATAAGACGAAAAAAAAGAAAGTTAATATGTTAATTCCGTATGATAAAAAAACGGCGTCCAGAAATCTTAGAAATGACACAGGATAAAAATTCCCATATAATTTTGCATACAAAATTACAGGATATTTATAACAAGCCATCTCTGACGCCGTTTTTTCTTCAATTATATGGAATCATGTATGTTTAGTTTTCAATTACTTAAATTTTCAGACTATTATACACTGAGAGGCAAAGAAAAGTCAACGGAGAAATTTTTGATCAAATTTAAAGTGTTATATTTTTGTTATTTTTATCCTTATTTTCATGAATCAGCTTTAGTTCGTAAACTCATTTTTTTTATAAACATTAGTATTTGGAATATTATACAGGGTTAATCGGAGGAATTGTTTTTTTACCTTCTTTTTAAAACACCGTGTACAATAACTTCGTCTGTAAATTTTCTTAAAATATATCCTAAATATCCTAAAAATTTAGTGTTAGAACCATGTCTCTTAAGCATTTTATTTTTTGAATCATGTCAGTACATATCCCTTGGTTAATTTTTTAATAGCGAAATGGACTGATCACGATCAATTTGGAATTTTTTCAATTATCATTACATTTCGATATAATTTTTTAATATGACGAGATGGTTTTGGTGACTCTTGTAATAACGTCATAAGACGCTGTATTGGATACTATATACTAAATTAAAAAACGATAAAGACTAACGATACAGTCCGGGCTTTAATAGACATTAATAATAATAACAGAACTAACGATATTAAAGAAAACATCTGTAATACTCAAGTATACAAAAGTATACAAACAGGAAAAAAAATATTCTAATACTTTGTATTGCCTCCCTTGGCTTGGATAAATACCTGTACACGAAATTATTGCACAGGGTGTTTCAAAATTAGGATAAAAAAACAACCCCTCTATTAACCTTGTATAATATGCTAAATACTAAAGTTAGGGCTAAAATACTAAAATAGGGCTAAAATAACAAAAATATAGCACTTTAAATTTGACCAAAAAATATATTTGCATCTGAGTGTAGAATAAATTACTAAATAAAATTTATATATTATATTAGGCAGAAATAGCAATCTGTTTCTTTTTTTATGAGACCTTTGATTTATATCAAAAGTCCTAAGAATTAGGAGTTTACAAAGTAATCATTCGTTTTCTTCTTAAAGATTTTATAATAAATTGATTTATTTAGAATTCATATATTATATGAATTAATATAATTAATACCATCAAAAATAAATCCTCTTGTGGGACCGACGGGCTAACTTTAAAAATGTTTTCGAATCTGCCAGAAAGCACTCTGAATCACCTAACAACTTTAATAAACATGTCGTTCCAAAATGGTATTTTTCCAAAATGTCTTAAGACGGCAATAATCATTCCTCTGCATAAAGGAGGAGACAAAGATGAAGCTTATAACTATCGCCCAATTGCACTCCTTCCAACGCTATCTAAGATCATAGAAAGGTTGGTTAAAAGAAGGCTGATATCTTTTCTGTTTAAGTACAAAATACTTACTGAATATCAATTTGGATTTCTAAGCAACAAGTCCACAAATGACGCTATGTTTTCCCTCCTTAATAAAATTTACTCCAGCCTAAACAACCATCAATCTACAGCAACAATTTTCTGTGATTTTTCTAAGGCGTTCGATTGTGTAAATCATAAGATCTTAATTAATAAACTGCAGCACTATGGGCTCAGGGGATCATCTCTCGAATGGTTTAAGTCGTATCTGAGCAACAGAAGTCAACTTGTGAGGGTGGATACCACGTTGTCTTCTAGCAAGCCAATAGAATGTGGAGTACCACAAGGCTCAGTACTAGGCCCTATTTTGTTTCTTCTTTTTATTAACGACATTGCTAACATAAACATCAGTAGCAAAATATGTCTTTTTGCGGATGACACTAGCTTCACTTGGAGCAACAAGGACATCACGGCACTTCATAGGATTATATCAAATGACTTAATCACCATTAAATCTTGGTGCGATTCGAACCTCCTGAGTCTCAACATTTCTAGAACTAAAGCTTTGTCGTATAAAAACTCGTTGCAGCCTTTTGTACTTAACAACACCACCATTGACGTCGTAAAATCTGTAAAGTTCTTGGGGCTTGTTGTGGATAATTCTCTGATATGGGACATACATATCGAAGCTTTGTCGAAAAAATTGAGCTCTGCCTATTTTGCATTAAGGTCTGTTTCTAAGGAGCTTAACTTGTCAGTGGCTAGAACTGTTTATTATGCACTTTTTGAGTCGCACCTCAGGTATGCCCTTCCATTCTGGAGTACGTGTTGTGCGACTCAATTTGACCGCATTTTCAGGCTCCAGAAGAGAGCTGTTCGATATTCACTGGGACTAAACAGCAGAACTCATTGCCGGGACTTTTTTAAAAAATTAAAAATATTGACTCTTCCTTCCTTATTTATATTTGAATCCGTTTGCCTAATACGTAAACATGTATCAGCTTCTCAGGAAAGGCCATCTCACACTTATCCACTCAGAAACGCGGAGCAAGATCTTTATCTACCTACCCCACGCTCAGAGTTATTTAAAAGTTCAATATTATACAACTCGAAAAAAATGCACAAACACCTGCCATTTGAAATCAAATCCATAACATCATTTTTTTCATTTCGCAAAGCATTGAACTCTTATTTACTAGACAAGGCTTTCTACGCCGTAAATGAATTATATTTTGAAAATCAAATTTGATCTTGTAAACACTGGTCTAATGTTTGCTATTGCTATATTTACTAATGACATCGAAATGAATTTATTTAGAGGTCATTGATATTTTACTATAAACTAGCTAAATATTTTTGAATATTATTTTTATTTTTTTGTTCTTTGACATTATAAATATTTATAAATGTTTATTTTAACAATAAGATTGACAATATTATTTGTATAATGTTTTGTATTATCTTTTGTCTGTTTGTAAGGTACACAAGATTGTTTTTTTACTTTGTTTGTTAGTTTACCTTTGTCTACAAATTGAAAAATTTTTTGACAATAAAGACATTTATTTATTTATTTATTTATTTATTTATACTTATAATTCAATTCAAATTCCTAATATATATAAATACTATCGCACAATCTAAAATCTGGAAAACATATCTCTAAACTTCTAAAGTATAAAATATATACAGCCTGTATATGTGTCTTAAAAACAAAAGCAAAGCTCTGTATTTGAGAAAGTGTTACACTTTTATTACAGCCTCTTAGATAGGTACTTAACCCAGTTTACGCGAAAAAATCGTATCTTACTCTACGGCTTTTATTTTACAAAAATAATTTACAGGATTGACATTATATTTTTGCCTTTTTCCATTAATACTTTTATTTCGCAAAAAATGTTTTTAAAAATCAGTTTTTTATTATTAAAACTGATATTGAATTTTGACAATTTTTACGCATCACCTGATATATGTCAAAAGCTTTAAAAGATAAATAATAAAACAGAAAATATATATTTCGTAACAGTCCTAATGTGTTTTATTTGATTTTTGCCTCCCTGGAAATAAAATTTAATTTTACCGTGTCATGCCTCACCTGGTAAACAATTGGAACGATATATCTCGCACTGGGTCGATATAGTGACATTTATTTTTATTTATAGGGTACAGTTGGAGGTTGGCTCCGTCAAAGTTTACACTGGGCGGTCCTGAAAGACAAAAAATATTTCGTAAATTATAAATCACCAATAAATTGAATTTTATAAGATATTTAACTAAATATTATATCAAAAAGACAATACAGACACGTATAAATTAGTTTAGACGTGCGTCAAAGATTGAATAAATTGTTTTAATAAATTTTCTGCAAATTGATTCGAAATGATCATCAAAAGTTTCCAGCAAATGCAACTATTATACAAATATTCACAAAACATATGTGACATAAATTCAGCATGTTGTGTAAAATCAAAAAGATAATACTGATATTAAATATCATTTAAGTGTCTTTAACCTTCCTCTAGGAAATGCGAGACCTTGTTGTTGGCGGTGAAGCTCAGGGCTAGGGGCTAGTCAGGTGCTAGGGCGAATTGGCTGCGTCAAAGGAGCATCTCACTCTCATGTCCCTGGCTGTAGTGTCGTGGCCAGGAAATTGCAACAAGACGTATAACGATGGGACTATCCTGTCGGTCATACCAGGCACCCTCTATGGTCACACAGGTAGAGAGGTCTTGGCTTAACCGCCCGGACCAACAAGAGAAAACTTTATCAAAAATCTAAATCCTACCATGGCGGGACCAGGTCAAAGGGATGCGTGGCAAGATAAAAACTAGCCTCTATTGGTCTCCACCTTGGGGCACCAGGTTGTTGCACCCCGTTGTATTTACTCCTTCTTACTTCTACATGCGGGGCTCTGTAGAAGTAGACCGATTAACCCTAGCAACTCGTGGGAACTCTATGAGATCAAATATAAAAAACACCATCAGTGACGCTGTGGGGAAATCCTTTAGCAACCCTGGGAACATTATCAATGCAAGTATCAAGGAACTATTCCCAAAGGGAACTACAGGAGAGGCAGATGACACTTGTGCTAGACCAGCCACAAGTGGCACACGAGCTAGCACCTCCTCTAGTAAGAGTCGGGGGCCTTCATCTAGACCTAGCAAGTGACAGAAGGTACCGTTTTGTTTATCCAGCCTTGGTCAACCAGGCGATCTAGACAATCCGCTGAGAGTAGGTCTTAGTGGAGCAGAAGTACGGAGATACCTCCGACTGCTCTACGAAAGACTTGCTGCAGAGGAAGCAAAATCGAAAACATTCCTCGAAAAAGAAGAAAGTAAAAGAACTAAGAAATAGCCTGGCGCATCTCCGCCAAAGGGCAAGAGACGGAGCGAGAATCTCCCACCTCTGTACCGGATAAAAGTGGAGCCCGGATGGAAAGGAAGAACCGTTCAACACCGAGAGGCAAGCAGGGACGTATCACCAGCTTTGCCGCTATTTCTGGACAAGTGAAAACAGCGGTGCTGCCAAAGGATTACCCAAAGGTTGCACTAACCACCGACCAGCAAACTACTCTAGAGAAGAGGTGATACTGAACGAAGTAATAGAGAGGGACGCACAACGCAAAGATTCACAAAATGTGGGTCAGCTGCATTTTACAGGGATACACTTTCGGGTGGGCATGCTCCTCAAAGATTGTGTATCTCAAGAGTCGGCGGATTGGTTGGTGGAAACAGCACATAAGTTTAAGAATTAGCAGGGGCCGGGACTGAAGGGAGAAAACATCTCAAAAGGAGCGACCATCGCGGTCTTTCTGCCGAGAAACAAGGGGAAAGACACCACCTACGTGCTGAGCCTCATCCAGTCTGAGAACTCCAATGTAAGGAAATCGAGTTGACGAGTTATCAACTCGGGGAAGAAGGGCTATGGTCAGGTTCTCACATTAGGAATTGGCCTCAAATCTTATATATCTTCTATTGTAGATTCGGGACAACACCGGTATCAGGTCTAAGGAGAGGCCAAGCTAAAGAGGTGGATAAAATGGAGACAGATCCTCTAGCCTCCACTTCACTGGTACCTCAGCCGGAGATAAGCTCCTCGACTATGAAGGCTAAACCGCAACCGTCTAAGGGTGCATCTGTTGTCAGAGGAGGATGGAAAATATATCCTGTCCCCCTACAACACGTATAATGGATTATAGACTGTATGATGAGTTATAACTCAAGGAAGGGGGACACAATAGATCTTTAAGGTGTCAGTGATTAAACCCCCTCCCACTCATTCTACATTTTACATATCATATGACATAATAACTGTAATTTGAAAAGATAAACTATATTATGATCAATGGTGTTATAAAAATGATACGAAAAGTATCAAAACGACCAAATATTCATAATGTGATATTATATTTTATGGAATTTTAGTGATTAAAAATAATATTTATAAACTAATAATTCGACTTCTACTTCTACCTATTGAGTAAAAACTAAAAGTATTCCAAATAAATGAAGATCATAAATAAGAAACAGTCTAAGGGCTAAAACAAAGAAAATTGTGAAAATTTTCAACTTAAAAATATGTGCTAATAAATAAAGTGCTAAACCTAAAATTGTCGTTACTGTCGACGAAGAAACTTAGCGCTATGTAAATGAAGAATTAAAAAAAAAGATTCTGTAAAAACATAATTAAAAAAAAACAATTAAAAAATAAAATTCAAAATTTCTCATCTAATATATCATAATAATTTATTAAATTAGTATTACTGCACTTCAAGAGAAAATATTCATAAATTAAATAACAAATAAAATTGTTTTGTTTTGAAATAAGTAGTTGAAACGGAGATTTTACATTACAAATCGTATATGTTTACGAAATAGATTAATGTCTTTATATTTTCTGCTACTTGTCTTAGTTGTGAAAAATAATAGTTCTACTTTATTTTGTTAGTTTATTGTCAAACATATACTTATATATTACATTAGACCATAACATAATATTTAATAAGCAATACAGTAATTTAAAAAAAAAAATTTTTTTTAAATAATTTTTTTAAAAGTTAAAAACCTATTTCAATTTATGGTTTATAGAAAAATGTATATGAATTCATAGTTCATATAGATCGGTATTTATAATTGATATCTTTTAGATTTTCTAAAAATGTCAAATCCAGGGTGAGTCTTAAATAAGTGCAAATATTTTCAGGGCTTGTAGATATCGATAAAAGAAACATTCTCTCTTTATCGTCTTTCTAATAAATCCAAAATAACCGAGTTATTTTACTTTGAAAATTTCCAAAAAAAATGATTTTTTGATAAAATTTTGAGAACACATTAATCTACTATCTATGTTGCCATATTATCAAGAAATTATGCTTTTTAACTAAAAACTAAAAAAATCCAAAAAAATTTTCAAAAAATTTTTTTCGCAAAGAAAATCTCATAATCGTGTTTTCTGGTGTCAAAATATACTACTCCTAAAAATATTTGCACTTATTTAAGACTCACCCTGTATATGTAAAGAGCTACATGACGAAGTTTACATGGCCACAAGTACAAGTTATATTACCGAATGTTAAAGAATGTGAACCTCTGCAATGTGACACTTCTTCATCTTAAGACAGTGGCGGATACAGAGGGGGGCCCATGAGGCCTCGGCCCCCCTGAAATCTGTGAATTGGATTAAATATTTTGGGTTAAAAATGGCCCCCTAAAAAGCACATTATACATTACTTTATATTTGGGCCCCCCCTAAAATAAATTCCTGTATCCGCCGCTGTTCAGATACAATACTGATTAGAAAATAAAATTGGCAGTTAACATGTATACTTATTGATATACAGGGTAAGTCTTAAATAAGTGCAAATATTTTTAACCGAATTTTTTCGTTAAAAAAAAATTTTGAAAATTCTAAATTTTTTGAGAAAATTTTTGGATTTTTTTTTAGTTTTTAGCTAAAAACTTTCTTTACTAGATTACTTTACATAATCCTAAGATATGAGTAAATACAGGGTGTCCCAGAAATAAGTGCAAATATTTTAAGGGGCGGTAGATCTCGATAAAAGAAACATATTTTCTCTTTATCTTTTTTCAAATAAGTCCAAAATAACGGAGTTATTTTACTTTCAAAATTTCCAAAAAAAAATGATTTTTTGCTAAAATTTTGAGAACCACTGGATCTTTTCTGGATTTTCTTTCTTGTAAATTTAATCTAATACCTATGTTGCCATATTATCAAGAAATTATGTTTTTTAACTAAAAACTAAAAAAAATTCCAACAAATTTATAAAATATAAAATAATTTTTCTTCGTTTTGGTAAATGGAACACCCTGTATATTATTTTTTTATTACATGGAGAATTAAAAAATGAACATTTTTTGTATTTAAAGTATTTCAAAATTTTTAATAGTTTTCCGGATACACGTATTATTATTTCATATGGCGCCTCCCTGCCAATCAAATACGAGAGAAAAATCATTAGGTGGCTTTGATGAAAATTAACTGTGGAAAATGCCATATGAAATACAAAATCGGGAATATCTGCGAAACCGTTAAAAATTTTGAAATACTCTAAATAAAAAAAAATTCATTTAGAGGTTAGGTTGTTACCTCTAATTTATCGAAACTGTATGTTAATCACCGTATGAATTCCAGAAGCTACAGATGCCCAACGCACTTTTGCCGGACCCTGTATAAAATTCTCGTGTCACGGTTTTAGTTACCATACTCCCCTGAAACGGCTTGACTGATTTTGATAAAATTTTATATGTATAATCAGTAGGTCTGAGGTTGTTATCTATTTTTTATACCCCTACATTATAAGAGGGTTGTCCACCTCACTTTTTGAAATTAAAAATTCATAGAACCCTAAATTTTTACCCCTCTACCGTCAAACACCTATTTTTTAATATCGATGGCAAAACAACGTTTGCCGGGTCAGCTTGAAAGTTAATAAAAAATTCAAGGCAGAATTTAATAAGTAATAGTAATTTAAATGGACATAATCATGAATCAGATTGGATACATATTTCCGCTTCTAAATTTTAAAGTAATTATCCAAAACTATTATTAGCTATATAATATATTACATAGACCCCTCGATATTAATACAGAACAAAAGATAACAACAAACATCGCACAGATAATCGACATTACAAGAAGTACATTTTTACTACCCTACGAAGAAAAAATAATATTCATACAGCAAAAAAATATTTTTTAATAATTTAATTAATTATATGTATTTCATAGTTATTTTTTATACAAGACGATAAAATGGTATTTTATCGTCGACCTAAAAGATTAATTCACGAGCGATGAAATCGCCATTGAATTAATTTCGGGAGACGATAATGCAATTTTATCGTCGTGGTATAAACAATATTTTTTTCCATAGCGAGTTACGGTTTAAAAAGTATTCAGAAGTTATTATTTCAAGGAATTTATTACGAGTAGAAAAAATATTGTGATGGGTTGGCGTTGGTTTCTATGTAATTTGACAAATAAATAAAGCTGTCTCTTTAATTGTGAGTTTTGAGTCAATATTTTTTAATTCCCTTTCGTGTCGATTGCTGATTGAATTGGAGCCAGAAATGGCTCAAAACGTAATTAAATATACGTAAGTAAATTACCAACAGATATTCATGCTGAGGCGACAAACGCCATATCCAAACTACTTCCATTTAAATCCCGAATAACTTATGAAAATGAATACAAAAATTTTCAAAAATGGAAGCAATTAAAAAACGCGCGAGAAGAAATAAAGTTTTTAACCTATCCTCGCTCTTAAAGTATCATTTAATTGCGGTTAAAGTATTATTTTATCTATTTTTGATAGATATAAGGCAATTTTAACAGTTGCTATGGAAAAAAAAATTAATAGTTTTATCTTATATTTGCCGATGTGTTGCTTGACATTAAAAAATAAAAGTTCAGTTTTACGTTGAACATTGCAAAATTGTAAAAAATGGGCATCTGAAAATAATTATCAAGATAATTGAAAATAATATTTTATAGATAATAATTATACAAAAATACATTGTTGCTGCCATCCAAAAGAAAATTATACTTATTTGTTAAAAAATAAAAAAAATAATTGTAAGACTTTTTATATATTATCAATCGTACGTTATTTATAAAATATAGAAAAATGTCTTCAGATCATAATATATTCGCCTTTGCCTCGCTTAGCTATAAAAAATAAGAGTTTTACTTTATTCTGTTAACTTATTGTTAAACATAAACATGTTACATATTACTTAATACCCATTACATAACAGAAGCTAATTAAGCGCGTCGAAATATAATTACCTCTAATTTATCGAAACTATATGTTAATCACCGTATTAGAGCAAAGATTTCGCGAAAGTGAACGTAGGCGATCCCCGGCCATAACCTACGCCGACACCGAGAGAAAGCGAAAAGGAAGATATAAAAATAATAATAATGTAACATACCAGGTAAGGATCCGATCAAACACACAAACCAGTAATCTGAGACACCCATAATGTTCGGTAACAAAGTGGTAATTGACCCGGCCAATTCCTTACGAGATTTTGCGTGTCTCGTGGGACTGCCGCATATTTTGACTGCCATGTGGCAGGGGAGAGCGGAAAAATCATTTTCGACTGTAGGTTAGTTGGGCGATTAAGCCTAGTTACGGTATATGAATTTTCGCTCATATCATTTGCAATCGATAACTTTAAGTATACGTATACCATAAAGTCGAAAAAAATTCCGTCACAGGGACCTTTGAAATTTGATAATTCCTGTCGGGCCGATCCTTATCTGATATTTATTCTATATATATATAGAATAAAATACGATATAATAATATACATTATTATATCGTCGGTTTTATGGCGCATTTTAAAGGACCATCTCGATTTTTGGCGATTTTGAGCTTCTTCGTCTAGCAATATCTCTACCTCACCTGAGAACCTTAACGATTACTTTGTAAATGTAGCGAAAAACTTAACTAATACCATATGTCCTTCTCATGATCCACTTTCTTATCTCTCTAATGATAATGTAAACTTACACAGTTTCTTTTTTTCGCTCGTAGTTTTAGAAAAGATTCGCAGTACAATTAATACCATCAAAAATAAATCCTCTTCTGGGACCGACGGGCTAACTTCAAAAATGTTTTCGAATCTGCCAGAAAGCACTCTGAATCACCTAACAACTTTGATAAACATGTCGTTCCAAAATGGTATTTTTCCAAAATGTCTTAAGACGGCAGTAATCATTCCTCTGCATAAAGGAGGAGACAAAGATGAAGCTTCTAACTATCGCCCAATTGCACTCCTTCAAACGCTATCCTTATCTGTTATTTATTCAAGTTGACACAATATCTTTCCAAATAGTAATATAACTAATATACATTATTATATCGTCGGTTTTATGGCGCATTTTAAAGGCCCATCTCGATTTTTGGCGATTTTGAGATATCAATGTCATGACATGCCCATTATATAGGTAATTTTTTAACATAGCGAATTTGGACATCTCAATATTCTACCTTTTTCATTTTATATTCATTTAAAAATTTTCCCTTTCTCAAATTCTAGAATTCTTCCATATGACAAAGAGACCTATGTTGAGATAGGGCTCTTTGTGATATCAATAGTTATTATACCAATTGTTATACTACAAGAAAGGTGGAATTTCAGATAGGTCCTTTGTTTTAAGTTATGAAAATGCGTGGGAGGAAAAACGATACATTCTGCCTAGATATTTTCTGATGGCTGCTTGAGACAAAACAAAAGTTCTATATTCTAGGGCTAGCAGGTCTCTTTTACAGAGGTGCTAATTCAATATACTTGAAAGAAATACGCCTCTGATTTTTTGCCACAATTATCAGAATGAGTTACTCTGCACATAGATGTATTGCGTATCCAGAAAATTGTCCGCGAACAAATGGCCGAAGGAAACCGAAGGCAAATCACTGAAACGAGTATTGCCCTAATGGAAAATTGCCCGAAATCATAATTTCCCTAAAAACATTTTATCGAACCACAAAATTGCCCGAAAAATATAATTACAAAATACAATTGTCAGCGCTTTATCATTATCAGGTCATTGTTATTATCATCCCTGCCAATTTCTGGAAAATAGTGTTTATTGTGCCTATCATCATCCGGTATAAACACGTGGAATGGAAGTCGAATTTGTAATCAGTGAACAGGGAAAACAGAAACAGTTACTACACACTTATCTATTACACTGTATCAAAAAGGCACGGGTGAAGAAACATGTTTTTTTTTTGGTTTGGTTTTTATTTAATGGACAGTGTTTAAATGCCCGGTATTAGGAGCAATATTTTACGAAAAATCGACATTTTTGGTAATTTTTATTTCTGTCAATTGTAATTCGATGATTTTTCTTTTCGGGCAACTATCTTTTTGGTTAATTTTCTTTTCGATCAATAATAATAATATAATAATTGTTTTCGAGTAATTCTCCTTTGCGAACAATTTTAGCAGATCCGTTGTATTGCTCATATTTTTTACTCATTGTATTACTCGCATATTTACTAAGACAATTTTTTAACAATATCCGCTAAGCTGACGATATTATCTTATTCGCTAATAATATACACAACCTACAATTTGTCAACAAGGTAGAAGGATAGACCAAAGCAAAGTGTACACAAATGTTAACAAATTTATGATAATCTCTAAAATCCAAATATGAAGAATCCATTTAGCACAGGGTCCATTAGGTTAGATCCTTCGAGGTGGCTATCGGCCTGAGTCACTGCGACCTTTTCAGATCTTTTTTTTGTGGGGATGGTAAAAAAATCTTTATAGACGCCTGGTCTGTTGTTCTAGCGACCGAGGATTCCTACCGACTAAAAAAAGTTTCACCCTATTTGCTTTGACAAACTGCGCTGGGACTGGAGGACAACAATAAATGGCTTACAAAAGATAAGTACCTATTGTGAGGAGAACGGACTCAAAATGAAAACGCCAACCCCAGAAGGGCTAGACAAATGTCTCAGAAACTCCTTCCTCCCCAGAAATAGAACAGCGGATAAAAAACAAATGTATTGGTGGAATAATGAGATTGCTGAAAAAAAAGAAAGATTTGTATTAAACAGAGACGGGTATTAACAAGAACAAGAGAACGCGAGATGGACCCCGAGACCGTGGAACAGGCGCGTACTAGCTACAGCATAGACAAGCACAGTCTTAAAAAAGAAATCCTTAGGAGCAAGAAAATGAACTGGCTAGAGCTATGTGACGAGCTTGAGTCCGATGTTTGGGGTAAGGCTTACCAACTGGTAATCAGAAAATTTATCGGCAGACGCAACGCTTCCGTTACAGATAACATAATAGAGAAGCAGATCACAACATTGTTCCCTAAATCTCAGTCAAATAGTTGGAATATACCAAAAAAATACCGGATAATGTAATATGGTTCACTGAAGAAGAAGTGCATTCTGCAGTTTAAAACTTCCGGCCCGGAATACGTACCGGTGGAAGTTGTCAAAGTTTTATCAACAGACAGCTTCCAAATTCGTGGAAAATCGCCAAACTTGTACTGGCAGAGACACCCAATAAAGATGGAAGTCAAGATAAAAAATATCGCCCAATATATTTAATTAATTCAAGTGCCAAACTGTTTGAATGTCTTCTGAGAGACAGATTGGAGAAATAACTGGAGGATGGAACAGACTACACCCAAACCAATATGGGTTTCGCTGAGGCAAATCTACAATAGACGCGTTAAACATCGTTACGAGTAAACCGTATCAAAATGAAATCGTATAAGAACAGTGGATACGCAGCACTATTTACATTAGACATTAAAACCGCATTCAATTCTGCCCCATGCCCCATGGACAGGAATTGTTGCACAATCAGAGGGTATGAAGATCAGTAAATACATAATCGTTATGAGTAAGTCTTTCCTGTCCAAAAGATATGTAATTGCAGAAAACTGCAAAAAACACAAGATGACGTGCGGGGTACCGCAGGGGTCCATTCTAGGGCCGACCTGTGGAACATCTTCTATGATCAGATCCTGAGGGTCGATAATAATGATTCCTAATCTACTGATTGCTTATGCAGATGATCTGGCTGTCCTGATCACCGCTCCAATCATCACTATATTCGAAGAAAAGATACAATACAGCTGCCTAACCATAACCTAACCATAACTATATCCAATAAGTTGGATAGATTTTTTTCATGGAGGTGATAGTGTCTTTAAACAACGACTTTTCCGAGGTAACTAGGTACAATGATTTGTTATCTGAAAAAGTATTCGAATTTTCCATTGTCCACCATAATGCTTATTACCTTTACTTTATTTGTATTTATAGAACACCTGACTCTGACGTGCAATTATTCTGTCATAATCTACTAAGCTTGCTTGAGTCCCTCCCCTTAAAAAGCAAATTAATTTTGTGTGGAGATAAGGAGAAGACAAAGATGAAGCTTCTAACTATGGCCCAATTGCACTCCTTCCAACGCTATCTAAGATCATAGAAAGGTTGGTTAAAAGAAGGCTGGTATCTTTTCTGTTTAAGTACAAAATACTTACTGAATATCAATTTGGATTTCTAAGCAACAAGTCCACAAATGACGCTATGTTTTCCCTCCTTAATAAAGTTTACTCCAGCCTAAACAACCATCATTCTACAGCAACAATTTTCTGTGATTTTTCTAAGGCGTTCGATTGTGTAAATCATAAGATCCTAATTAATAAACTGCAGCACTATGGGTTCAGGGGATCATCTCTCGAATGGTTTAAGTCGTATCTGAGCAACAGAAGTCAACTTGTGAGGGTGGATACCACGTTGTCTTCTAGCAAGTCAATAGAATGTGGCCCTATTTTGTTTTACTAGGCCCTATTTTGTTTCTTCTTTTTATTAACGACATTGCTAACATAAACATCAGTGGCAAAATATGTCTTTTTGCGGACGACACTAGCTTCACTTGGAGCAACAAGGACATCACGGCACTTCATAGGATTATATCAAATGACTTAATCACCATTAAATCTTGGTGCGATTCGAACCTCCTGAGTCTCAACATTTCTAAAACTAAAGCTTTGTCGTATAAAAACTCGTTGCAGCCTTTTGTACTTAACAACACCACCATTGACGTCGTAAAATCTGTAAAATTCTTAAGGCTTGTTGTGGACAATTCTCTGAAAAGGGACATACATATCGAAGCTTTGTCGAAAAAATGGAGCTCTGCCTGTTTTGCATTAAGGTCTGTTTCTAAGGAGCTTAACTTCAGTGGCTAGAACTGTTTATTATGCACTTTTTGAGTCGCACCTCAAGTATGCCCTTCCATTCTGGGGTACGTGTTGTGCGACTAAATTTGATATATTTGAATCCGTTTGCCTAATACGTAAACATGTATCAGCTTCTCAAGAAAGGACATCTCACACTTATCCACTCAGGAACGCGGAGCAAGATCTTTATCTACCTACCCCACGCTCAGAGTTAGTTAAAAGTTCTATATTATACAACTCGAAAAAAATGCACAATCACCTGCCATTTGAAATCAAATCCATAA